GTGGCATGCGCAGTAGCGAAAAATCAGTGTACAAACATTTTATCGTAAACTTTTTTTGTTAGACTAAGTATTTATATTTTAGTAGTATTTATTCTATTTGTTCTCTTACCAATCTCGACGTCTGTGAGGAACCGTGTCCACATGGTATTACCGGGTCGTTTCTGATCCTCATAGTACAATGACAAGACTTCAAACTGCGCCTCAGTTAAGTTCAAACCAAGTGAGTTCAGGCATTGTCTAAATTGACCTTTACTTATCGATCCATGCCGCAGTGGGTCAAAGTCTTGGAAAAAYTCCTCCACCTACACGAAAACATATCAGTTAGTATTACTAGCCAGTATTATTACATTTATAAACCCATGTATACAAWAACCAGAGAACGTGAAAACAGACAGCAGTCTTGATCAGTGCGATATTATTATGAAAAGTGAAAATCAAAGGCCAAAATATTTCACATTATACATACTCTCAGTCGGTTAACGAGTACGTGATATCTTATTCGACCAATCAGCTCTTCAGGATTGACAGTGCTTAAATCGACGTCACGCTGTTTGGGCACTGGTGAAGTTTTCCTAAAAATCAAACGAAAGTTTTTCTTTATTCTAAAGTTTTCGTGAAAACTCGTATTTACGTGCGTGTCGGGCATGAAAATTACTTTAAACACATCGACTTGCATAAAAAATTGTTTGTATTTGCAGTTAAATTGGATGATTGAGATCTCTTACCTGCCATTTTCTGCGTCATTCCCGAGTGTTGTTGAGGTCCCTGTATACTCTGTTAAAGAAATATCGCGATAAGTAAAAACAGTGCCGCAGTAAAGACAGTTCAGTGGGAGAGGGGTGGGGGAATTACCTGAATCAATAGCTTGGCTGAAGGCTGGATAATTGATGTCCCCACCCACCGGGTATTCGTACTTTTTGCAGATCAGCTAGAAATACATTTATCGGGTTAGTATTTACAACATTACAAAGAATGAGATCATACATCAAGAGAAAATAGAGTTCAAGTTCTTCAGCTCATATATGGAAAGCGATTTCCTGGAATAAGTACTTGCAAGAAATTACCTCAAGTTCACGTGGYTGCAGGTCTAAYGACAGGAAGTGTAACAGTCTTGCAAACTGTGTCTTGGTWACACCTCTAGTGTATCCCTTGCTCTAAAACACGATGAAAATAACACTGAATGCCATGATAATRATAATATGATAATAATATGATGCTTATATGCATTCATCATCAGCAGCAATCGTAATAGTCATCGCAAATCATCATCGTCCRGTATAATCATCACTGATCGTCGCATCAACTGACTGATTGCTGCACTATCGCTGATAGYGTGTTTTTGTTCAAAGACGCTGGTCAATATAAACGCAGGCTCATCGTTGTTACAATTCTTACCCTGTCGTAGTCTTTGAAGTAAGGATACACCATCAGTCTACGTTTTCGTACTTTATCAATCAATCCCTTCAAAATCTCTTGTACGCGAGCCTCTTCTGCATTRCTCAATAGATTAGGGGCCTGCGATATAAATGACACACTTTYATATACTCATTCAAAGCATGCGCAGTGAGTTAGCATTAGTTTCAAAATGGCGCCAAGTTTAAAA